TCGCTATATATCCCCTTCCCCCTGCTAAACTCCCCTCCTGATCTGCAATGGCTTTAATATCATTGAATAATTTACTGAATTTATTGAATAATTGAATTATCATTTAATACCTTTGTTTTAGATATGTTGCCAGTCTAGCTATTTTTATATGTTAATTACCTTTTAGGACAATGGAGTTTAGTGTCCAGCGCATGTCCAGCCGGAGCCACTGAGACAGTTGGTACGGTGATCGGGGGCTTTTGTTATGAATTTGTGGACAAGGAAACCAACTGGTACAATGCCGTGGCTGGCTGCGAGGCTAAAGGGGGTGAGATGAAATGCGTCTATAGTCTCACCTATCACAGTGGTAAACAATTAAAAATGTCAAAACTAACGCCATCTATTGTTTATCATGCAACCCACTTTTCGAGAGGTTTCCATACAGACTACGGTAACAAAGAATTATCGTAATTCATCAGGAGAAAACATTTTAGACACTGTTACATTGTTCCCTTTTTTGTTCATCTAACACAATTGTCACATCTAAAACAATTGCTACATATAACACAATTGTCACATCTGACACAATTGTCACATCTGGCTCAATTGCAACATCTAACACAATTGTCACATTCATCACAATAACTACGTGTAAAGCGGTTTTAAAATCTCTTACATTAGGTCGACTGCTGGAAATACCGTCAGCAGAAGTTCAGGACTTTGTGGACGTCAACCTGATCGCGTACAGGCAGAACCAGGAGCTCGGGATCTGGATAGGAGCCAAGAGGGCCACTAATGCGGATTCCACCGGTGGGGCCTGGTTTTGGCACAAGTCGAGTGAGTAGAACTCTCGCAACTTATCGTCCTATCATGCCGTGCTAGCAAATTAAGTCTTATTGGCTTTTGTTTGGCCAAATAATAATAAAAAAAATAATAATAAACTTTGGTGTATACCCCTTCGTCTTGGGCTGTACTGAATAAACATTTTTCTTTGATAAGTGGCATTAAAGATGACAGTGCCTACTAATAATAATGGTGACAAATAATGATATTTACATATTTTTATTTTTTGATCTACGTAGAGGCCAATTAGACTTAATTTGTTAAGCACGAAAATCAACACGGTGATTATTAAAAAATCACACCGTCTCCACACATTTAGTAGTAGTAGTAGTAGTAGTAGTAGTAATAATAATAATAATAATAATAATAATAGAGATTCAGATACCGAACTCAGATATACTGCTTATTGTGACGTCATGTATTACCTAGTACGTCACAACCCTTTCAGACACCAAGCTCTCGTACGAGAACTGGGCGCAAGACGAACCCTCAATGTTTTGGAATTCCTATTACGACCCCGAGGAGTGTGCCTATATGAGATACGACAAGTCTTGGCAGTGGAACGACTTTCCCTGCACTGATACGTATTGGGGGAGTCACAGCTATATCTGTGAATATGGTAGGCACTTTGATTAATATGTATAATAGATTGCCTTATAAAATATCCCGCGAGTGACAGGGCCACATAACTCAAAAGCATCGCGTATTGCGAATAGCGATATCACATAGAGGCTACAATGTATTATATGGGGCGAGTATTGGCGAGATATGGAATCGGGCGCTTGCGCCCGGTCGCAATGCCCGATGCTTACGAGTTACGGGGGCCAGGTTCTTCTTGAGAACACTGGCTTGCAGAACAGAAATGAGCTTGCCCTCGCCATGGAGGATCGCAGGGTCTGGGAATGAATTTATGTTGTTGCTTAATTAATGATGTTGACGATCGACTGCAAGGGACATGATTGATTGATTGATTGATACATAATTTTGGACCACTAAGTCGACATAATGGATAACGACCACATGTACCCTATACTTTGTTTTAGATACAGGCAAAAGAAGAAACTTTAAATCAAATGATACATATATCTTTAAAAGACACAATAAAGAAATACTGCCGCCTCCATTGGCTTCAGAAGGAACTGATATGTAGGAAACACTGGGTAATACTTTTATTGTTGATGTGTAAAATAATCCCGTCCAACCCCCTCCGCCGGACACCCATCATTCTGCACCAGTAGAAGCTTCACGTGTTCCATGCTTTGAACTTATTGAGAGGTGTTATTCGTGACATCATATAATCAGGCCTTAAAAACGGATTAGGCGTTTATTACCACTACCCGCAGGTCTTTTAGCACTAACATCGATATTAACCATCAAACCCACAAATTAACCAGCATTACCAGAGTGGATGAATGTTACTAATAGGTGTGGCTTTGTTGGTGCTAAATAATTGTGCGGGTGTTGAATTATTCGTGGGTTTTGTGGTTAATATGGACGTTAGTGCTAAAGAAGATCTGGCGGGTAGTGTTAGTAAACGCCTAATCCGTTGATAAGGCCTGATAATGACTTATTTTTCCAGAAATAATTACTTTATTTTATTATATTTTTTTAAGTTGGTGAGGGTTCCCTAGACACCAGTGGGGGTATCTACCACGGTGGGTCAAACGTCACAGAAATGGCACTGACCATGGAGCCTACTACTACCACTACCACACCCGAGGTCCATGGCGGCAGCGCTGGCAGGAGCGGCTTTGACGACACATCTCAAAGTGACAGTACTGTAGCGCCACTATTGCCACATCTGACGCATTTCTTTTCTGTGGCCGGATTCACCATTGCTAGTATCCTGCTTGTGGCTGTGGTGATACTTTTTGGTGTATATATAGTGCGGAAGTGAGTATGAAATCTGTAATTCTTTTAATAATCACTTGATTAATTATTTTATTAATTAAAGCCTAAATGCAGTCGGCTCCGCCCCCTTCCAACCCTTCTCTGTTGCTATTTTGAAAGACCTAATATTGCATCTTTGAGCCCATAGCACAATTTAATGAAATATCCTACCTGATTGCATTCAAGTCTTTTCATTATTTCAGGTGGCGACAAGCCAAGACAGGTGACAACCAAAACACGCCTCTTTTTCACAAAAGTCAGCCTAAGCAGTCGGTGCCGATATCAGATTATGGCTCCCCTATTTTCCTCTGAGAGATGGGTTCTTCACCCTACTCCTCATCGTTTGTACAGATTCGGGTTAATCTCGACATAATACACTGGGTTTGAAGTTGGAGAACTATGAAACTAAATATTTTAGACAAGGGCTATGTGCCTTCTGGCGGGTTCCTGCAGTTCTGGAATCGTTGAAACACACACTTCAGTTTCGCCGAGCCATTGGTTTTAATACTAGCATGTAGAAAATGGTAAATCTTGGGAGTATTTAACCAGGAGCGAATCCAGAGATATTTACTGACAGTCTTCCAAATTATCTTTGTTGATTCATCCTCCAATTTTGACCGTCTTCCAACAGAAAAAAATAGATACCGTCAATGTAAACTTGAAAATCTGACCGTCTTCCGGAAGACCCAGAAGACGGCCTAAATCCGCCCCTGAATTTAACCCCTTTAATTTGATTAAATCCATGTTTTCTTACCTTCTCTCTAGTGAGATTACGGGAAACGTTGCGCCTTTGAAGAGAAGCAAACAAATGTTCGACATTCCTTTGACATTTATGGACTAACAGAGAACCCAATTTGGAAGAGACGTGTGAGAAACCTGAATAAGTTTTACTTAATTTGGTATATAATTGATTTCAAAAACAGCCTATCATAATGGAATACCAAACATTATTATTGATGCTCGCGACGCATATGTTATATATAATCCACAAAGTTTTCCGCGATGCGCATCAATTTAATGCATTCAGTAACTCTAAACGAAATGCCATGTCCATTTCTTGGCATTAATTTATCACCTTTTATTCTTTAAGTACATGAAATAAAGTATACATAGGGTTTGTAATAAAAAGAAATGCATTTGTTTGTGAATTTTTTGGCAGGTTTTGATACAAATGAAGGTATAGTCCACACAAATATAACGTTTTTAGGCCCTAAGTTTCCAAAATGAAAACATCCAGAAATGAAAAGTGGTATAGACGTCTTGGCATATGTAAACCACCATTCAGACAGGGCCTCTTCAGAAAGAAAATTTGGCGAAATGTGCCATTGTGCCAACCGTGAGGTCATTATGCAACAAGATAATCTGAGGATAAAGAGGATAAGAACGTCAGAAATCTAGTAGGGTATCTTGGACCTCGCACACTACACTTCCAGTCATCTCAATACGCGGGAAACTGTCCCCCTTGTAGAGCCTTCCTTCTGATGTCCGGCGTAACGAAACTGAGGGTCCGTGTAACAGAAAGTCCGACCTCCATTGAGTTATAATGGTTAGGGTTAGCCTGACCTAAGTGGGCCAAAATCTAGAGCGAGGTTTACCTATACAAATGAATGGGAAGGGGACTCTCTATCATGGTGACTCTCTGTCACGTTACACCGGAATACTCTCATTAAGCCAGTGAAAAAATTGAGAAATTCACAAATTAAGGCCAATGAAAGATACTGAATTCAGATATAACGGCAAACGTCATCTCCTGCGATCGTTTAGTTCTTCTTGGTATAATTGATTAAAATCACACGAACAACTTAAACTTTGAATGAGTATTTTAATTAAAATAACATAAGATAGACGGAGATGAAAGTCAGATTGCTTTGCATCTCACCCAGATTCACAACTAACACAATTGTGCTCATTATCCTGGGTTTCGCAGAAGGCGTATTCACAGGTGCCTTGTAACGGTTTATCTTGGTGCCGTCATGGGTGTTTTAATATATAAAATCTACTTAAATGAACAACAACCTATACGCTGCATTGTCTGAGTATCAATCAGTCAAAAAAGTCACTTCAATAAATATATTTCATTTCCTCTGGACAAGTAACGTTTGCTTCAAGTATTTCAAAGTCCGCTCACCACGCTTTAAAACCCACGTGACAGCTTGGTGGGCAAGAGTGACGTCTTTTCCGATACTTTATTTCTGTTCCTCGCACTGAATTCTTCCATGGCGACACGTACTGAAACGATATATTAAAATCTCCATATATGATATAACTTAACTGGCTTTGGCTTACATGTAGCATGTATTCATTTACACGTTTTTTTTTCTATCCTGCTTCAGCGGATATCGATTTCTTTTTGCTATAGTAACCTTACAGCAGGCCCGTAGCCAGGGGGGAGGGGGGTTCGGGGGGTTCGAAAGAATCACCCTTTTTGCTGAGAAAAGGTCCACTCTGGGTAAAATTTGATCTATGTGCTGGAGGATTTTATGGCAAAAGGTCCACTTTTTCAGAAAACGCCACCCCCCCCCCCTCTGAAATTGCTGGCTACGGACCTGTTAGAGTGAGGCTTGACGCGTAATAGCCCCGGCTACTCCATTAACGTGAACATACAGCGTATAGGGGGTTGAAAATGGCCCACATATGAACATGAAACGAAAACTAACGTTCTATGAATAAATGGTGACTAGATAAAAAATATTCAGCTGGAAGCAAGTGTAATATATTTTTTTTATAACTTGTGAACATATTGTATGCTATTGCAGAAAAATAAATAAAAACACAACGAAATAAAATAAATATAATTTATAATTGTCAGTTACCATTTATACGTTTGGTAGAAGAAGGAATCGCCGTGGTGATAATTGTCCCCGTTAATACTGCACTTTCCGTGTCCACGGTGGTGGTGGTGATTAGAGGTTGGTCGGTCTGGAAGGGAACTGACCATTACTAGGGATACATCTAACGCAAGGACATACTCGCAAAAGTCGAAAATTTAGACGGCTACAACCAGTGGCCTACTACATAGAGCCGACTTGGTATTTGATTTTACATGGTATTATTATGTAAAAAAGTTATACCAACGACTAGCCCACATTAGATGTCATAGCTGAATGTAAGTGTCAATACCAAGCAGTGGCACTTTTCTATTGAGGCACAGTTCAAAGACAGAAGAAAAAGGCGGTAAGCGGATTTTTGGCTCGTTTTGTAATCTTAAGTTTCGAATGCCATATTAGACATTTTGAAATATAATTTATATGAAGACCACCTGTTCGGTTCAAAATTGACTCCGCCTTAATCTCAACCTCGAAGTGCAAGCACCAGTGTGGTAGCTGTGACAGAGGATAACATGCCTCACAATCGAACTTACCTTTTCTGTCAATTTTTTTACACACTCCACTGTTGGGCACCCCTTTGTCTGGGTTTCCAGCCTCCACGATATGACACACAAAGCCGTGAGGGCAGAGAAGGGGCTCCTCGTCTCCCGTCACGGACGTACTGCAAGGCTCTTCTTCTGAAATATAACGCGAAATCCTTTTGGCTTAAATCCCGCCAGGTTTGCGGCTATGAGGATACCCCTTTCCTATTCCTACCTCACAGCTTCGTAATTAGAAATATTTTTGTTCTTTATTTCACACAAAAATCGCGCCAAAACAAAACGAAAAAATTCTTTATCCACATGCCTCTCCCAACACCACCTCCCTTAGTAATATGGTACATCTCCCGACCGCCATCACTTACATTTTATCATCTTTTAAAAAAGCACAAACATATCACTACCTGGTTCCCATTTTCACGCCAACACCAACAAAGTTTTCAAATATTCTGCTGTAAGAATGCAACACACAGACATCTCTTTGTTTTCCCGGAAATTTGAGACTGAGGGTATAAATACAATTCAAGTACTAGTAACTACCTATTTTTATTTTTAATTTCATAAAGTTTTAAAAGACATAGGCCTACCCGGTTCCTGCTCGTCCTCCATGGTCGGCACAAGCCACGAGAGCCCTACAAGTATATAATGTAATATAATTTAATTTTGATAATTTTAAATAAATTAAATTAAGTTAAAATGTCAAATAGTGTAGATGAAGAAAGTTCACTGTAAGTGTGACCCGTAAATGTTTATTTATTTATTTGTTTGCTTGTTTGTTGTTCATTCGTTCGTTCATTCACTCATTCACTCTCTCACTCACACACCCACCCACTCATTAATAAATTTATCTGTTACTGACCTGTTCCCGTGTTCTTCTGTTTCCTCGGCGCTTTCACCCAGTCTACAACTACAACAGAAAGTGGTATTACGTCAGATTGTACAGTGAACGGAGACACACCGGGAAATTTGATCGGGCGAAGATTCAATTCAATTTCATTTCAAACATGAACGGCTAGAGATGAGATATAAGTTGGCAAGACGTGCAGTGTCTACTGTATGTGCTTTTTAGCCAAAAAAATGGGTACGAAATGCGGCAAAATGGGTGCCGATTTAATTTGTAGGGGGGGGGTATGACTGTATGGATTGTTCCACCAGACAGATACCGATCGTGATTTACCTTAGTGTTTATTTTACCTTATTCAGGCACGTAGCCAGGGGGGTTTGGGGGGTTCGAAAGAACCACCCTTTTTGCTGGGAAAAGGTCCACACTGGGTACAATTTGATCTATGTACTTGAGGATTTTATGGTAAAAGGTCCACTTTTTCAGAAAACGACCCCCTCCCTCTAAATTGCTGGCTACGGGCCTGTTATTCATATATGAATTCATTCGTTCAGTCTAGTACGCTACTGGACCAATATAACTTTATAGCTCCCTTTATTCGCCCAATCGCTTGAAACTTAATTTTACCGAATGATAAACATTCTAAAGAAATCTTTTTAAGGAGATANGACATGAGGGTCCTTTGTGGGTCGTGTAACTCTTTTAAAGACGATAATTTGGAAGATATGGAGATCCAAAATATCGCTTTCAATGGTTGTCGTATGACTTAAAATTGGCAATGCATTTTTGTTTGCTTCACTGGCGAAGTCAATTAAAGAACTGATGTCGCAATGATATGGAACATTTTATCAAAAGTTATTAAAACACGATTTTAATCCTTATTTTTATTTATCAGTCTGCAAAATAGGAAAAAAACTGATGAATAATGATTTAGAAAAAAATATTCCACATTAAATGTCAAGTCTGTATAATTTCTTGCTACCGTGGATTATTTTTTAAACGAAAATAATTTAAAATTAAGTATAAAAGTTTCAAAAACTTAAGATAACTTTACCTACCGATAGGTGGAGTCACGTACATACAAGTACGCACACAACCGTTGAAACAGCATTTCTGACTAAACTGTCCACACTCGGTATCCAGTCGGCATTGTCTTGCTTGGCAGGGCCCTCTAGCGGCCTGTCCCCAGACTTTTGGGCAAGAAGTTAACGTTTTCCATGGACTGTCTCCTTGCATGGACTCTACATCCTGAATGATTTAATATTCAAAATACAGTCAAATAATTTATCTTAGATTATTGAAATGCAAATATTGGACGACCGCGGCATAGAAGAGCTAATTTTAGGTTCATGTGCTGTAAATGCCTACTTCTCAATCTGAACATTAATTTTATTCAGTGGTGGATTTAGAGGGGGGGTCAGGAGGTCTTGACCCCCTCCCCTTTAGTCTCTGAAAAAATTACAGTAATTTTTCCCTCTTGAAATTAGAATTTTGACGAACTGATGTATAGTTCTAAACCATACCAAATGGCTTCGTTCACCTTCTGAAATACCAAAACATTTTCGGGGCCCTTTAGCGGGCCCCGAACGCCACGCCAACGGGGACTCCCCCTTCGAATATTCCTAGATCCGCCCCTGTGTATTATATATAGCGGCTCATCCATTGTAAGGAATGGAAAGTAAATGCGCTATATAATTCTTATTTGACAGATATGAAGCGAGGGTGAATAAAAAGAAAAATGGAGAGAGAGAGAGAGAGAGAGAGAGGGTTCTATAAAGGATAGCAGGTGCTTACTTGTCAGTATTTTTTTTTTTCAGATTTTGAAAATTTATTTCTAGCCGATCCCTGTTTACCTATCATCCCTCACAACATTAGCATCAGTTTATAAAAGTTCATTAATTTAATTCCACTTTGTAAAAAAAGTATCCAAGTTAAAATAAAATAATGTCGTTGATTTTAATGGCTATGCATGATTACTGGAAAAGTCTATCCACCCACAAAAAATTGAACCTCAGAATGCCCTCCCCTCTCTCTCTCTCTCTCTCTCTCTCGCTCTCTCATTCCCTTGCCCCAGTGCACTGTTAAAACCTTCAGCCCGCCTCTAGATCTATATTTTCATATCTCAGACCCAATCTATCCGAGTTTGGTTTAATGGTATGTTTTAATAAAGCTAAAACCACCATCCTCTCCATCCCGCAGTATGTTTTTGTTAGGATTTAAAAACAAGGTTTTTGAGCGATGGTTTGAAACGAAATACTTGTTAGCAAATGCTGTGCATACTTCTGTCGCATACTCAGGGTTCATTTACTCATCGGTGGTTTTGGCTGTTTAAACTGTGTATATTTATATTGTGTTATATTATATGCCTTCTGCCATTTTTACTTTTTACAATGCCTTCAGAGGGAAAGAAAAAATGTCAAAATTACGAAAATTTTTCATAGCAGATGAGAGAGAGAGAGAGAGAGAGAGAGAGAGAGAGAGAGAGGGCTGAATGCGGATATAAATGGAGACCGTGCGCCTAAATTAGAGAAAAGATAAAAACCTGAATCGGGTCAAGTGAGCAGTGAGATAAGAAGCCGAAGGTGTAAATTCTTATTTTCTCCGCCCAAAACAGAATGAATCATAAAGCTCCACAATTTTTCCTTTCTTTAATAATAGCATCTTACCTCTTCTTCTAGCCAAAATTCTTTTTCCTTCACCGTCTCATCCCTTGCAGACGACAATTCTCCTCCAGTCTCTCTAGCAGACGACAGGTGAAGAAGCACGAGAAACGCGCTGAAAAGGACAACGTTGTTCATTGCGTTTTCTGCGTCGTCTGCACCTACATTGATGTGAATCACTCTCAAATTTCCAACAATGCCTGAATGATAATCCCTCTTCCCGCAGCGTTCGTTTTTCTTCTTTGTCCTTTTTATCAAATTACACCTCAGTTCACCTCAATAAGAAACCTATGGAAACAATGGCGCTGTTCCGGGTGATACCCCTGTACGAAACCGCCAGCTTTCACTCTGTCTATGCCCAAAAATCTGGGGTGGTTCCTCGCCGCCTTCCACTACCCTCACCTACTTCAACTCACTCAGCGCTCTCGTCTGCATCTTGACTGTAATGTCTGATCCGGCGACCCGTAATCTTCAGACGATCTGGTCTTCTTTCAAATTACTCCCCCAAAATAAACAGCCACGTTTACACAGCGCTCAGCCCGGCGTTCCACCACAGACTAACTTGACTTAACCCGACTTTCTTCCCATCGGTACAACAATTTATCGTGTTGACATGAGATTGTTGTGTTATTGCACAAGTTAAGTCAAGACGCTGACTTGATTTGCTTGTGTCTATAGACATAACTAGTTGACTTGCATAGTTTCGTGTCGCTCTTTGAAATGTGTCTTTGTGTCTCGTGCTGTGGGCTTTAACATCACGCAAGGTCCCGTTTAATGGTGCGACACATTCTCTATCAACTGTGTCTCTTTATTCCCACGTCTTTCTGGAACGCCCCCATGACACTTCGCTCTTCTCGATATAATAGCAGACTATAACACATCCAGGGGAGGTCACTGCGCACACTACCCCTCCTTAAGCCTTTGAGGTACCCCTCCTCTCCCCCTCCTCTCTCTCCTCCCCTTCCTCACCCTTTTCTTTCTCCCTCCCTTCCTCTCTCTCCTCCCCTTCCTCACCCTTTTCCTTCTCCCTCCCTTCCTCACCCTTTTCTTTCTCC